ACACTCCAAAAATAAATTTCCAGTAGGATAAAATTATCATAAATTATTGACAATGATTATCAAATGCACATTTGTGACTGATTTTGATTGACTTGGTAGATTTATTTTTAGTGTAAAAGCCACAGTTGTCACATTTACTGGAAACCATTTTATCTCAACTTTTCATGATTCATTTGTGTTGCAGCCTTTTCTCCCCAATCTAAAATAAATAAAATAAAAATATGTTAATGGTTTGTTTCACTATATTGTAATAAAAGACCCTTCGATTCTAACTGGTACATTTATGTAACTATTTTGTCATTCATTTTAATGTATGAGCCCGTCAATCAGATTATTATTACTATTTTTTTTTTGAGTCAAACATGCTGTCACCTATTCAAGAAGCAAATCTAGTCGGAATTAAAAACATCCCTTAAACATAGTTGAAACTATCATTAAAAACATTTACGGGGACATCAGTTCATTCAAATTTTTGGTCATTGTTAACTTTCCAAGGTCCAGATTCAAGAGGTTGTGAATTTTTGATTCATCACAAAAAAAACATACTTGTAAATATGCATTTTCTAGGTATTTACAAACAAGGTTTAGGGAGTGCCTCAATTTTGTAGAAGCTGTTTAAAAGAAGAGGTATGCCCTTTTTAATTATGCAAATTCACAAAATCAACTCACAGAAATTGACATGGACCGTGTTGGCAGTCACAGCATCTTATAGTAATATAACTTTTTAAATTCATTTTTATAAGATGGTGTCTGGCTGCTTTTACGTTTTTTTGTTGCAGGCATATAAAACATGTTATTTTACTGTAGAATACTTATTTTTAAAATCAATGTTGCAGGAATTATTTGTCCTTGTTGAAGTTTTTTTTCGCGAAATCAGTTTAAAATATATTTTCATTTCAGCTGTGCTTTGTGGTTCGACAATTATTTTTCACGTAAAACTGTACATTAATTCTGTGCATGCCAAGATGACCTGGCTTGTTTATATCCCCAGTTTTATCAAAAAGTTTGTATTGATTTGTGCAACAACAATACAAATATCATGTTTTTGTTCTATCCCTACAAAGTAACATTTTGGCATATTATTTGATGTGTACAATGACTTGTGACATTATAAACAAAAAAGTATGATATTTTATTAACATGTCAATGAATTATGTAATGCTCATGTAAGAGTTGTTTTTCCTCCAAATTATTTTGCTGGGTGAAAGTTGCTCCCAGACTTACGGGGCACATATCTTTGCAAAGAAGTGGATATCAAATTTGAATCAGTTTTCCACAAATTAGTTGTTGGTTAATCTCTAAATTGTGCAATACTTATTCCTCACAATTTCTGCAGTCTCAGATCTGTATTTGCGTGAAATCCAAACCATAAGAGATTGAGCCATTCTAAGTGTTTGTTCTTAATAATCTTGTCCAAGAGTAAGTAATAGTAGGTCTGTGCTTGTGTCCATACCGCGCCTATTCAGACCTTTATTATTGCTTAGTCACTATCGAAATCTCAATTTTGTGCCGTGTCATGACTCGTGAACTGACTGACTTTGCATCGAGACGGGAGCTTTTAATTTGTTTGTTGTCAACAGAGTTTGAATGTCAGTTAGCCTCCACCCAGACCCAGTCACATATCATTGTGTAAATGGCTTCCGAAAGTTCCTCACGTTGCCTTCGTAAAACAACTAAAACAACCCTAACTTGAACGGACGGTTTTGTTGTGGGAGCAGCCTTTTGCCCAGCCAGTAGAGAGCACTGTGTTCAGCCTTTTGTAAAACCACATCTCCTGTTGTCATCCATCTTGTCTCCAGTCTCCTCTGTTTATTCCCCTCTTACAGTAAATCAATGGCACACCTGTTAACTGTTACCCTCCACTGGATCCACACGAGTGGGCTACATAATGATGAATATTTCCATTTCACTCTTTTCAATTCAATTGGTGGTGGTTATGATAAAGGATTTAGACTTTGTTTCAAAGGTTTTATTTTCTTTTTGTTTTGTTTTTTAAAATTTGTTTCTCTATTAAAAGTTTTTTTTCCCCTCTTGTTTTAAAGGGAAATTTAATTTTTCCCCCCTTTGGTACAAAAGGGGGGCTACATAATTTTTTTGGGGAAAAATTTTACACCTTTCAATTCCCCAAAGGGGGGGTTAGAAAATTTAAATTTTTTCAAATTTTTTTTTCCCGGGGGTTTTGTTTTTAAAATTGGGTTATAAAATTTTTAAATTAAACTTACTCGGTTTTTTTTTTTGGCCCCAGAAAATTCCCCCAAATTTTTATTGGTTAGGGAAGGTTTTTCCCCCGGAGTTAAATTTTTCCCGGGGTTGGGAAAAATGGGGAAGTCCCCCCCATTGGCCCCAAGGTCCCCAAAAAGGGAAAGAAGGGTTCCGGGGGGAAATTATTTACTATTATTTAAAAAACCCCCGGGGGTCTTGGTTTTTTCCATTAAGTTTCTGTCCCTTTCTCCCCTCAGAAGTTTTGGCCCCCCCCCTTTAAGGGAAAAAAACAACCCCAAAAACCCAAAACTGGACTCTCTGATGTGTCAAGGACAGGGAGGGTGCTCTTGCTCATCTTTCATCACCCCCCTACACACACAGTGAGGGGACGCTTCCACAGACTCCTTCTTTCATCAATCCCCCCCCCCCCCCCCCCCCCCCACACACACACACACACTAGTGAGGGGATGCCTCCACAGACGACTCCTTTCATCACCCCCCTACACACACACACACACACAGTGAGGGGACGCTTCCACAGATTCCTTCTTTCATCCGCCCCACACACATACACACACCTAGTGAGGGGATGCCTCCACAGACGACTCCTTTCATCATCACCTGGGAAATTACCAGTTAACATGGCTTCGCTCTATCGACACACTCACTGTTCGAGACCCGAGTTTTCTGGATATTCCCCTCTATGACCATGCTGCAAGGCTTTATTCTCAAAACAGGTTTGTGTTCATTGGGACACGCAAAGGACACCTTTTTGCAACAGTAAACAAAATTAGCTTTTCTTATTGTGCAAATCCAGGTAGTCCATCCCGTTTCTTCCGTTTGGTGCCTAAATGAACATGACCCAGGTGTCTTGTATACAGGAGAGAAGGATGAAATAGATGCAGGAAGCTGGCTTTCATCAAAGCTAGATATCAGTGTTTTTATTTTCATTAGAAATGTATGGTTTTGTGGTTATCATAACATGTACACACCACTAAAGACAACCACTGTACTGTAATTCATCATTGCATACAAAAAGCTAGTTCTAACAGACAAGGACAGATAAGATGGCTAAGCAAGTTTTTATCTGCTACATTCATGAAGTCTTATGTAGCGTTTAAGTACCAAACTGCCAATACCTTTATCAACAAGCTTGTTTTGAGACATTAGTAATGTACATTTCTGTATCAAAAAGAATCCTAGTTTAACACTTCCACTGAGTAAATACAAAAGCAGTATCATCCATAACAAAAAGAATGTACCCACTGGGTTTTTACAGTACACCTATTTCCTGCCTGTCCATAGAAGCCAAAGATGAATGGTAGCAAGCCAGGGAGAGCAGTCCAGTTTAGTTTGGCTGAAGACTGGACATTAGGATAAAATATATATTAAAGCCATATACTGGATCTAGATGGTACATATTAAGGTTCTGAGTTTTTCCCTAATCATTTGAACTGAAAGCCCCTGAAAGTGTTGGCTACTGAGTACCTTGGGAGTTTTAAATTAAATGCATCAGACACTAACTAAAATAAGAAAGAGAAGAAATTGATACCTAACCTTGATTAAAAATAGAGCGCTCCTAAATTGAATGGGATCAAATAGTCAAAGAAATTGGGCTGCCATGTGTTCAGCTCTAAAAAGCTGGGGGGGGGGGGTTAGTGTTTGGTGTGCACCTGCTAGAACTGAACCTTTTCCAACATGGCAACCCAAGCAATCAATGGTTCAGAGACTGTTGGTGTTTAGCATTCTGGTTCAGAGACTGTTGATGTTTATCATTCTGGTTCAGAGACTGTTGATGTTTATCATTCTGGTTCAGAGACTGTTGATGTTTATCATTCTGGTTCAGAGACTGTTGATGTTTATCATTCTGGTTCAGAGACTGTTGATGTTTATCATTCGGCATGGTATGCACACTAAACCCACCAGACAGCATTAGTTGTAGCTTCAACCTCTCTAATTTGCTGTGGCGTCCATGTATTATTCTTATAAAAGTAAGTCCATTTGAATACTGAAAATAAATAATTGTCACTATAAATCTAGCATGACCGAAATTCTAGAAATCAAACGGATCATTTTGATATCACTTCTTTACATCACAATTAGTGTTATGTATGCTGTGAATATATATTTTTTAAGGAGTTGTAATAATATTAAATACTTAATCATTAAGTAATCATTTGGCATCTGATTCTAACAATTTCCTGGGTTATCTTGAAATCTGCCTGAATACATTTGACATAAATTCATTGCAAGTGCTTGATGCACTGAAAATAACAGAAGAACCATCTCAGTTACAAATTGATTGCGTTATGTACAGAATTATCATACAAAACACAGAGTGCAGAAAAGGTGAATTCATAGGTCAAATGTCAATCCATTACTATTTATGCCATTAAATAACATGGCAAAATGTATAATTAACCAGGCTTCCATCCAACCATTTCATGCTGATGAATTACCTGACACTTGAAAATATCACGACTGGGCAGATGGAAACAGGAAATGCCGGTACAATGACGGTATTTTTCATTCGGTACATTGGAATTGAACCACAAAAGTTATTTTTATGTGCACAACTTCATCACGCACAGCCTTTTATCAGCAATAAATCCGTTTGATGGATGGATGGATGGGGGGATGGGGGATGGGGGGGGGTCGACGACCTCGACTGCTCCCAAGCACTGTGTGAAAGAACCCTCTGGTTCTACTATATAACGGCACGAAGTTGATCTTGATCGTGATCTTATTGCTTTTAAAGAAAGTGTCACTCTCTTCCTCCTCTCTTCCCTCTCCGTCTATTACTCCACTTCCTGTTCAGCGTCCATGCAGGACTCCCAGGGGTTTTGGGGCATGCGGGGCATGGAGAGCAGGAGGAGGCCGAGGCCACTGAGGAAGAGGAGGCAGAAGCCAGCGCAGGCGCAGGCGAAGGACCAGGCATAGGAGTAGTCGATCCAGATGGTGTCCTCGCTCTCGATCATCCGCTTCACCGACTGACGCATCACCTCCACTGAGATGATGGCGCACAGGCCTGCGATTGGGCGGCGAGGGAGAGAGGAGGATGGGTTAACGATCATGACCTCCAATCACAGGTAAGCAGGTGAATCAGATATTATTTGTTTTTAATTTGTTATACTATATTACGATTTTAGTACTGTATCTGTTCCCTTAACCCATTGATAACAGTACAACAAATATTACAAAGGTAATGTGTTATCTGCTTGTCTGGTCTTACCTGCGAAAGCGAAGAACATTCCGGCAGGTTTGAGGATGTAGTCATTCCCCTTCTTGAAGGAGCACAGGAGACACAAGGTGCCCAGGATCATAAAGGCCAGGCTGAAGATGGCGATGGCCGCTGCCGAGATATTGTACTCTGAAAAGAGAGCAAATAGAGGTTACTTCAACATGACCCCTGACCTATGAATATAATATATATATACAGTGGGGAAAAAAAGTATTTAGTCAGCCACCAATTGTGCAAGTTCTCCCACTTAAAAAGATGAGAGAGGCCTGTAATTTTCATCATAGGTACACGTCAAATATGACAGACAAAATCAGGAAAAAAAATCCAGAAAATCACATTGTAGGATTTTTAATGAATTTATTTGCATATTATGGTGGAAAATAAGTATTTGGTCAATAACAAAAGTTTCTCAATACTTTGTTATATACCCTTTGTTGGCAATGACACAGGTCAAACGTTTTCTGTAAGTCTTCACAAGGTTTTCACACACTGTTGCTGGTATTTTGGCCCATTCCTCCATGCAGATCTCCTCTAGAGCAGTGATGTTTTGGGGCTGTCGCTGGGCAACACGGACTTTCAACTCCCTCCAAAGATTTTCTATGGGGTTGAGATCTGGAGACTGGCTAGGCCACTCCAGGACCTTGAAATGCTTCTTACGAAGCCACTCCTTCGTTGCCCGGGCGGTGTGTTTGGGATCATTGTCATGCTGAAAGACCCAGCCACGTTTCATCTTCAATACCCTTGCTGATGGAAGGAGGTTTTCACTCAAAATCTCACGATACATGGCCCCATTCATTCTTTCCTTTACACGGATCAGTCGTCCTGGTCCCTTTGCAGAAAAACAGCCCCAAAGCATGATGTTTCCACCCCCATGCTTCACAGTAGGTATGGTGTTCTTTGGATGCAACTCAGCATTCTATGTCCTCCAAACACGACGAGTTGAGTTTTTACCAAAAAGTTATATATTTTGGTTTCATCTGACCATATGACATTCTCCCAATCCTCTTCTGGATGTACTCTAGCAAACTTCAGACGGGCCTGGACATGTACTGGCTTAAGCAGGGGGACACGTCTTGCATTGCAGGATTTGAGTCCCTGGCGGCGTAGTGTGTTACTGATGGTAGGCTTTGTTACATTGGTCCCAGCTCTCTGCAGGTCATTCACTAGGTCCCCCCGTGTGGTTCTGGGATTTTTGCTCACCGTTCTTGTGATCATTTTGACCCCACGGGGTGAGATTTTGCGTGGAGCCCCAGATCGAGGGAGATTATCAGTGGTCTTGTATGTCTTCCATTTCCTAATATTTGCTCCCACAGTTGATTTCTTCAAACCAAGCTGCTTACCTATTGCAGATTCTGTCTTCCCAGCGTGGTGCAGGTCTACAATTTTGTTCCTGGTGTCATTTGACAGCTCTTTGGTCTTGGCCATAGTGGAGTTTGGAGTGTGACTGTTTGAGGTTGTGGACAGGTGTCTTTTATACTGATAACAAGTTCAAACAGGTGCCATTAATACAGGTAACGACTGGAGGACAGAGGAGCCTCTTAAAGAAGAAGTTACAGGTCTGTGAGAGCCAGAAATCTTGCTTGTTTGTAGGTGACCAAATACTTATTTTCCACCATAATTTGCGGGGGTTTTTAATTTTTTTAAATTTCGTGGGAAATGTTTTTTGAACAAATTTAGGCCCCTATTCCCCGGGGAGGGGCTAAAAAGGAAATTAAAAAAATTTTTTTTACACCCCTTTTCAACAAGGGGAATATAAAAACAAATTTATTTTTTTTTTCCTCCTTTTCCCTCCCTCCCCAAATATAAAATACAGGGAATCTCTACTTTAATGAAATTTGCCGTTTAAAAAAAAATTTTTTAAAAAAAAAAAAAAGCCCCCTGAAAAGTTTCTTGCAAAGGCGCCACCTTTATTAAAAAAGGGAAAGGGGGGGGTTTTGGTTAGGGTTTTTTTGTCAAAAATCGTGGTAAAAAAAAAAAAAAAAAACGCCCTTCCTTATTTTTGTTTTGGATCCCCTTTATTCCCCCTCTGCCTGTGGTGGGGGGTTTTTTTTCATTTTCCCTTTTCACTCATCTGGGGGGTTTGGCCCTCGGGTTCCCCCTGATATTTCTGGAAACTAACCCCATGGACTGCCCCCCCCCTTGCCCCCAAAAATTTTTTTTTTGGGCGGGACAGGTTTTTTTAAGTTGGGCAAAGATTTTTTTTGGCCCTTTGGTTTTTTGGGATTTTCCCCACCCCCTTTGTTTACCAGTGTTTATCGGCCCCGGAGCCCTATTTAAAAGCATTTTTAAACCATTTAAAATTTAATTGGTTTTAAATTGGGATGTAATGGGCTTTAATGGGCCGGGTTTATTTCGGGGAAATTTTGCCCTTTTGGGACTACTATTGTTTTAGGTTTGGTTTTGGTAAAATTATAGTTCCAAAAAAGTGTAAGTTTTTTAGAGGATTTACTGTGTTCCTCCAAGTCACCCTTTTTTTTTTTGGGTCCGTTTAAATTTGTAACCCCTGACGGGGGAAAAATATTCGTAAAACCCATGTTACTTTTTAAAATTTTTAAAAAAAAAAATATTACCAAGAACTCCCCAAAAAAAAAAAAAAAACAAGACTGTGAAGAAATAATTTAAAAAACTTTTTTTTTTTCCTAGTTTGTTTTTTAAAAAAAATAACCCAAAATTAAAATGGTCTGAATCCCCGGGGAGCTTTTTGGGCCCACACTAAAATTGGGGGAAGGGAAAACCCCTCCCCAAAATCCAACTTTGATTAATGCCAAAAAACCCGTGAAAAAAAAGGGTGGGTGGGCCCCCCGGTAGTTTTAAAAAAGGGGGCAAGCCCCTTTTGGGTCTTCCCCCCCTTTGGGGACCCCCCCGGGGTTTGCCCCCAAAAATTTCTGGCGTCTGGGTGGATGGGAGCGAGAAAAGGCCCTTCTCTTTGGATTCTTAAAAAAAAGGGGGGGGGTTGACAATCCTTTCCCTTGAAGGCGTGCACCCCCAAAATTCTGATTTCGCATTGGGGGGGGAAACCCCAATAATATTTACAAGGGGCAGGACTTTGTATAATGGAAAACTCCCCGGCACAGGGGGGTTTAAAAACCCCCCCCCCAAATGTACCCAGAAGGTCGTTTGGAATGTTCAAAAGAGAACCTAAGCGTCTAGACCGCACCTTAAGGTTTTTTAATTTTTTTCATCTGTGAAGAAATGATCTTTTCCTCTGTTGTTTTTTTGAAAAATCCCAAAATTCCCCCCGGGGTTTTTTTTAAAACCCCCATTGGGGATGGGCCCCTTAAAACCCATGGATTTTTTTTGCTTAAAAGCCAAAAATTTTTTGGGTTTTTGGGGTCATTTTCGGGGCCCCCAGGCCCTTTGCTTCCTTAAAAGGCGGGAGGGGCCCCCGCTTTTTTTTTGCCCCCCCCGGCCCCCCCGTTCCTGATGTCCCGGTGTCCCCTGGGGCCCCGTCGGGGAAAAACCGAAAACCAAAAACCTTTCTTCCCAGCCCTTTTTCCCCCCTGATACTGCATTTTGAAATTGGGGGGGGGGCCCCGCCCCCCCCCCCAAAAGGTCGGGCCCCCGGAAAAGGACCAAAAATACCAAAAATTGGGCAAAAATTTTTTTCCACCACCGCAACCCCCCTTTTGGAGTTTTGCGCCAAATTTTCCCCCCCTTTTTCCAACTTGAAAAATTAAATGTATTGTAACCTTTTTCTTAAGGGGGGGTTTAAAAATTTTTTTTTGGGTTTCTTTGGTTTGTTTTTCCCTTTTTTGTGCGTGTTTTTCAACTTTAAATTTTTTAAAGTTTAAACCACAAAATTTGCTGGGGGGTTTTTAAGAAGTCCTAAAAAAAATGAAAGGAAGGGGTACTGCTTGTTTTCCTCACCAAACGCCCTGGGGGGGTTTTTTCCCCGTAAACCCCTTAAAACCCCTTCCCCAAACACGCACCCTTCCCCCCTAATTTTGCACCTTTCCCGACCTGGTGAACTCGCTTTTGTTTTAAAACTTTTTTTTGGGACCCACATAAATTTTTTAAAAATTTACCAAAAATTAAAAACCCAGTTTTTTTTTCCTCAAACCATTTTATTGGGGTTTTGGCAATGCCTTTAAAATCCCGGTCCATTCAAGGCATTAAAAGTCAAATGTGCCCTAGGACCGGGTTAAAAATATCTGGCCCCCGGGGGGGGGTTGGGGCGGGTTTTTTTGGGCCCCCACGCTGGGTAAAAAGGGGGGAAGGGGGGGGTTTTTGAAACGGGGTGGGCCCCGGGTTGGGCTTTCCCACCCTTAAAAAAAAATTCCCCCAAAAAACAAATCCTTGGTAAAGGTTAAAAAAATCAAAAAAAAAAAAAAACCCTTTAAAACCCGGTTTTGGCCCAAACTTTTATTCGTTAAAAAAGGGTACCTTAAAAGGAAAATTTCAAAACAGTTTGGCTTTGGTAAAGAAAAAAAAAATTGGGTTTTATTTGAGATTTTTCCCATAAAGGGGTAACGATGGGTTTTCTCTCACCTAAAAGGGGGTTTTGGGCCCCCCCAAAAAAATTTTTTTTAAAAGAAAAGGTATGCTTTTTTTACTAAAAAATTGAACCAACCCATTTTTTATGTAAAAGGAAAAAACCCGAAAAAAGCAAAATTATTAAAAGTTTTTGATTCAAATTTGGGAAGGAATAATGGGCCCCGTTCTTGTTCGGGGGGGGAAAAAATTTCCCCCCGCGAAATCTCAGGAAAAAACCCCTTAAAATCAAAATGTTCAAAAAAACAAAAAAGATAAAAAGTTTTTTCCCAACGGGAAACACCTCCACCCCTTTGTCTTTAACTTTTAATACTTCCCTTTTGGGTTTGTGACCCAAAAAATTGGACATCCCCCTACTAGTGCCCCCAAAATTAAATTTGGAAGAAGTTTCCCCCAAAAACCCAAATTGAGGATTTACTTAAACCCCCCCCCATGCCCCCAAAAAAATATCGGGGGCCCCTGGAAAAAAAGGGTAGGACCCGGAAACGAAAAAATTTGCTTCCGTATTTTAAATCAAAAACTTTTTTTTTTTTAAAAAAAGAAAATTTTAAAAATTTGGGGCCAACCAGTACCAAGGCCAAAGGCAAAAAG